AACATGTGAATGATTTTGTATAATATTAGGTGAACAAGTTGAAATCATCGAATTCCCCCACTTACAGTGATGAGTTATATAACTTGGTGTTCGGTCCGATTCGCGCTAAATTGTTCTCGGGTTGTAATGTTAACGACGTCAAATTTTTGGGGGTTCCACGAGATGACAAGTTGTGTATGCAAAACAACGGTGTTCATGTCCCAGGTGGAGGCAAAAGTACGGACATTGATTTCTATGACAAACTCACAACTGTCGTGCAATTGCTTTACAAAGATCGATATCAAGTGATCATGTTTAAGTGTCAATGGTTTGACACCAACCCAAATAGGGCGGGAAGTGTTAAAATCAATCATGGCTTACTATCTGTGAACATTACATAACTTGATATGATGACGACCCTTATATTTTGGCAAACATGGCAACACAAATTGTGTATCTAGATGACCCTAAAGCCAGGAGCGATTGGAACGTTGTTCAGAAGATGGATCATAGGAACGTGTATGCTATACCAGAACTAGACCAAACTGACAACAACGTCGACAATGTGGCTGACCAACGTTTAGAATCTTTAATGAAAAATGATGCGGAAACACTTCGAGATACAAATGTTATACAAGAACTGTTTCAAATACAAGGAGTGTCTTCAATCGAAATACCGATTCAGTCAATTACAATTGACCTCGGTGATCTTCTGCGATACGATGTTGTAGTGGGCCCGAGCAATGACGATGATGTAGTTATAGAGGAGGAGGAGGAGGATTGGGAGACCGAAAGTGATGATAGCAACGATAACGAAAGTTATTATAATTCAGATGATGAATAATGAATTTTTTTGTAATTTTATTATGTTAGTGGACATATTTTGTGTAATGCAAATGTTTGAATATATGTAGTTGTTATATCCAAACATTATATATGTGGAGAAATGAAACATTATTAAAATAAATTTAGTTATAAACCATTGCTAAATCAATATATCCAAATTATTTTAATAATAATTTTTAAAATTATTTTGACAAAACACTTTTAAAAAATGAAAATCATAAACAACCTGACATGGTGCCAAATCCTTGCGCGACGTAAAAGGCATCGTCAAGCATATTTTGCGCGACGCAGAAGTTACTCGTCGCGTAAACTTAAAATTTTGCGCGACAAAAAAATCCGTCACGCCATGATATTTTGCGAGACGAAAAAAGCTCTCTCGTCGCGCAAACACATATATATATATATATATTTGATATATACACACGTATATATTTGAAATTGACGATCAAATTAGTTTATTATATTCATATAGGGTCAAGGAGTGTAGATGTAAAAAAATCATCAAAATCGGAGTCAAAATAATCGTTAAATCATGACTTTTCATTTATAACCGTCGAAAAGTTTTGTCCCGTTACTTGATCTCTGAATGTTTTATTTTTCCAATTTTTGGGGGTCTATGATCTCGAAGTATAAACAAACAAGTTTGATGGCTGGATTACTGAAACTAGTTTCGTAGAATGCGTATGTCATCAAAACACAATATTCACCAACAATGAAGAGTTTATTTATACTTTCCTTAAATATAACATAAGATTATGTGATGTCCCCTACTGTAAATATCTTAAATTGAAGATCGAATTCAGTCATTGTATTCATATTCGGTCAAGAAATGAAGCTGTAAAAAATTTTCAAAATCGGAGTTAAAATAATCGTTAAATCATGACTTTTTCTTTATAATCGTCGAAAAGTTTTGTCCCGTTACTTAATCTCTAAATGTTCATTTTTTCTGATTTTCGACGTATACAATCTCGAAGTATAAAAAAATAAGTTTGCCGGTTGGATCATTGAAACTAGTTTAGGAGTTAGGGTTTAGGGTTTAGGGTATATGGGAAGGGTTTGCGCGACGAAAGGACGTTTCATTTGTCGCGCAAAGTGCACAAAACAAAGCCTTGCGCAATGAATTCACGTACTCTTCATCGTGCAATCTCAATCAGAACAAAGGTCCTCCCCCCATAACACAGTAAATTTTTTTGGCAAATCAGAGACTTGCGTGACGAATGTACTCACGGGTCGTCGCGCAAAGTATACAAACCAAAGGCTTGCGCGACGAAAAGACTTGCCTTTCGTCGCGCAATCTCAGTCAGAATTTCAATCCCTCCCCACCCAAACACTTAGTAAATTTTTTTGACAAATTATAGACTTTCGCGACGAACAGACTTGCCTTTCGTCGTGCAATCTCACTCAGAATTTCAGTCCCCCCCCCCCCCCCAAAACACTTAGTAAATTTTTTTGGCAAATCAGAGAGTTGCACAAAGTTTACACACCAAAGGCTTGCGCGATGAATGGACTTGCCTTTCGTCGCGCAATCTCAGTCAGAATTTCAACCCCTCCGCCCCTAACACTTAGTAATTTTTTTTGGCAAATCAGAGCTTGCGTGACGAATGGATGTACCTTTCGTCGCGCAAGATCATTTAATTTATCTCCCTGCGCAAACTCGAATCCCGAAATTTGGGCAGATGGACAACCTTGCGCGATGAAACAAGACTTTTCCGTCGCGCAAATTTTGGCGAAGTGGCAACATTACACGACGGAAATGTGTTTAATTTCGTCACGCAAAATTCATTTAAATGATTTTGCGCAACGCATTTACCCCTTCGTCGCGCAGAGTCGAATAAGTTTTCATAAATGCCGCGAGCTTCTCCTTCTTCCCCAGTTTTTCAAATCTGCCCTAACTCCCTCTCTCTCTCTCCGTCGTCACCTCAACCACTACTCTGCCCCAATTGAGACCCGGCCGCCACAACCCTCCAACCCCGGAGCTTCCCCTCCGTCGCCGTCCATCCTGCCGCCGTTATTTGCTCGGTTTTCACCGAATCTTCGCCGGTTTTGTTCTCTCTCATTCGGGCACCAAATCCGACAATTGAGGTATGGTTTCTGGACTATTTTTGATACTTTAGCTGATGGATGGGTAGGATTTGATTGATTGTTTGAATAGGGTAGTGAATTTGAAACCCCAGGTTTCGACCGGTTTTTGAATTGAAATTTCGGCCACTTCCGGCCGTTTTTCGGGGTAGGTCCGAGAACAAAAGTGCCTCCAATTGATGTTTTCAACCTAGGGTAGGAACCTTGGCCCTTAATTTTTAGGATTTTCTGGCGATTGTTATCGCTTTGGGTACCCACGCTCTGCCGTCGCGTGTGGTGGTGCGTGGGATACTGGAGCCTCTGCAGTTTTCATGTGTGAAAAACTCATTTAATTCCAATGTTTTAGCAATTTCTTATCTTCATGGTTGCAGGTGTTAAATCCAACCAAACTAGTTATATTTATTAATATAGGTTTGTGGAAGTACTCTTGTTTGCTTTCCATAATCCTTACTACTGAATAAACAGTATTGGTTTTTGCCTTGGTTTTTCTAATCTTCATCCCTTTTCACAACATAAATGCTTTACCTGCTTTTGAGGCAAAGGATCACAACATTGTTAATAACCCGATGGAAGCTCACATAATTGTACAGGTTATCTTTGCTTGAATGTATAATGCAAATAATGCTCGTTGCTTTAGGAAAATATGTTTGTTCCTTTTAAGTTGTGTGAGGCAAACCGTTTAAGTAGATTGTACTGAAATAAAATCCTCATTTTGCTTATAGGTTGTGGATTTTTGTTTTGGTATAATCTCTTTTTTTTATATATATATATATATATATATATTATCTTCCTTCATGATGAGAGAAAATCAAGCATAAAAACCAGCCCCTAATAATATGAAACATAAAAAGAAAAAAGGAATCGAGTGCTCCTACTGACCATATTACTGACCACTTCTCTAATACATACAAATCTCAATTATATAAGTGTGGCCCACATATACGATAATCTTAAGTTAACTGTATTTTTTTAGTCATTTACTTGGCGGACTATATTTTGGGTTCAAACTCCGGTGGCATGAGTTTTATGGTTGGATTTGGGACAAAATACCCAACTCAAGTGCAACACAGAGCAGCATCCATTGTCTCCATCAAGAAAGATGCAGCTCCAGTTTCGTGCAAAGGTGGCTTCGACTCATGGTTCAACAACTCACCAAACCCTAATGTACTGGATAGAGCAATTGTCGGAGTCCCGGATGAGAATGATGCTTACACAGATTCACCAAACCCTAAACCTGCCTGAGTCAAATAGATACTACTTAAATTTTGTGTGTGTGTATATATATATATATGCCCAAGTGAAAGACTCTTATATTTATGCCACATTTTAGTTTAAGGTTTTAGGCTAATACTTTACGTTAATGTAAGCCCTGTGGCTTAAAGTATGTAAGTGACACCTTGTGTGGTTTATGTCCGTTACTAATTATAGTTAAAGAATAAATAATATTCTTCATGTTGTGAGAGGTCCCAAATTGGAATTAGTAGCGCGCCAATTTGTTTACCAACATCTTAATACCGACACATATATCATGTGTCATCTCGTCTTTTCTAATAAGGTATTTTATATAGGGAGTTTCACTAAAACACCCAAAATGGAGGCTGAAATTATAAAAAAATACAACACCCAAAACACTTTATAAATATACTCAAAACCCATTTATAAACACACCCAAAAAAATATACAATTGTTGACTTTGATGTTGATTTTGGGTGTGTTTCTATGTTTAAATAGTGATTGAGTTTTTTTATAAATACATGTGTAGGATTGAGTTTTTCCAAAGTCTCCCTTTTATTAATGTCATTTTCTAATTTTAGGAAAATTGGGAGATTTTGGAAAAACACAAAGGATAGAGAAATTTTGTAAAAGAAGCCAAAATGGACAAAATTGCCCTTATTTATTTTTGGATTTCCTAAGGAATCCTTTACATTTGCATGTCTTTGATTTGAAAGTTGAGAGGTTTTTCTGTTTTTTTTGAAAAAACTTTGGCTTTTTCCAAAATTGAATTTGTTTTTTTGCTAAAACCTAAATTCACTTTTAATAAAATCTTATAAATGACAACCCCATAAAACTATAGAGGCCATCAGTTCAGCATAGCCGAAAGAAAGCAACCATTCTATTTCCAAGAGAGAGAGAGACATTCGCATAGAGTAGCGTTACTCTTTTTTCTCTCTCACTGCTCACATTCCGTACTATGTAAACTCTTGCTTCTCCTCATCTTCTTCAGTATCGCCGCCTCTTCTCTGACCACTTCCCCAAAACCCATTTGCAGAAATCTACAGTTCATAGACAAAACCTCACTCAATTAGGCTCTGCCTTTGTTTCCAGGGCTTCCGCTTCATCTAATGCTCACGCAATTGAGAGGTATTTAGGTTGATTTAATTTCTTGGGCATAATGAATTTTGTTCGTTTCAATGTTTATTGGTCTTTAGTGCATATATAAACTGTCAATTGGCAATTGTCTGCTATCAAAATTTCTTCTGCAAAGCATAATCTCCTGGCCCTGTTGTTTTTTTCTTCAAGGAAATTTGAGAATGGTCTTGTTTGTATGCATCAGCATAGGAAAATAATAAACTTGATGATTCAAATGATAGTGGTTGAGGATAAAATGTGAATTTTTTGAAAGCATTGCAGTCCTTGTTCATAATTTATGAACTTTTCATTTTCTTTTTCCTTTCTAGCTGTTTTAGGCAAAAGGGGGTCCCTAGGTTCGTACTTGACTTAGTAGCCTTAGATTACGATGAGCTTAATTTGAATGAATTAGTTTGAATTCCGATCTTAAAAACCAGATATGGTTGACAATAGCCTTGTTCGTATGCATTTAATGTTTATTAAAGTCCTTCCTTTTTTCTTTCTTCAGAAAAATATATTGGGGGTACATTGGCAAATTTCTTAGCTGAGAGGTTGCATCAGCCTTTTCCAGGGTGACTCACATGCCTCTTCATAGTCTTCATAGCTAGACATCGATTGACGTGTAGTTGAAAAATGAGTGATTTCAATGTTTCCTTGGCCAAAATGAGTGTAGGCGATGAACAAAATGTAAACCTTTATGTTAAAGCTTTCTGTGTTTAAAATGTTGTCAGCATTTGACAACTGCATCTTAAAATTGAAATGTGCTCTTCTCAACTTTAGGAAAAGTTCGGTCTGACTAAAACGTCCCTTTTTCTTTGTGGATGGTGTTGGGGGATGATGTCTGTTTAAGCAATTCAAAGGTTTTCCATCTCTGAACTCAATTTTTTTTTCTTCCATTTGTTACGTATGGATCTAGCACATGAGTGAGATCTTGATTCAGATTTGGCATATATGTTGCAGTATGTTTATTGCGCAATCATATTTTGGACTCACAAAACTGATATAATTGAAGTATAACTGCAGACCCTTAACTGTGAAGTTATTTTTTGCACTATGGGGAGGCTTGGGATGTATAAAGTTTCATGATTGATATTAGAACTCGAGGCAACTTCAGTTCAGAAATTAGAACTCAAGGTCACAATTGACTGGCTATCCAAAGGCCAACAGGAATTCCTCATCTTGGCCTCAACTATTGAGTTTTTTTTGGTAGTGGAAGTTGGACTCTCATGTAATTGTCATTCTCATTTTGTCCTTTAGAATCACATCTCTGTGTGTAGAGAGAGAGAATGGAACCACCATCTCCAGACTGCAATGGTGCAGAAGCGGTACTAAATCTCCAACCGAGCTCATCAATTCCTGTTACGTATCACCCTCTCTTTGGTCCTCACGATGATCTAATCCTCCTTGAGCTCGATCAGAAACTTCTCCCTGATGTCCTGCACCAAAGGTGAGGAATAACTTAACTCTAGTTTCTAGAGTCTTATTTCCAATTTTTTCTTGCGCATTGAATCTAATTTAAGGCTTCCTCTTGTTTTTTTTTCTTTTTCCTTTCTCTAGAGTAACTATTAGAGGACAGCCTGATGAAGATGCAGTCCTCTGCACGGAGTCAAAAACTTATGCAATCAAATCCGTTGGAACTTCAAATTCTGTTTTTCTCATTCCCCCATCAAGTCAATTTAATTCTTTTGAAAGCCCAATATGTTGTGATGAGAACTATCATGATCCGCAATCTGTTGCTTCTGTCATTAAGATTGCAACCGGTAACATGGAACTTGTTGAAGTTGCCCCTAGACTTGACAAGCTAAGGTCGCTACTTTTTGAGAATCCTTACAGATCTGAGGAGGACGTAGAAATGGTGGACGTGGAAGAGATGGAAGGAAAGAATACAGGACTGTATAGCTGGGATGATCTTATTGAGAAGGTTCAAGCTAGTGATGATGAATTAAGGACTGGGTTGCAGGCTCTTTCGGCAGTGGATATTTATGGATGTTGGAGAATTGTGGATGAGAAGTACATGGACAGAATTCTTAGGATGCTTTTGCACAATTCAGTGCTGAATGATTGGTCATTGTCTTGTCTGAATGAAGACGACGTTGTCAATGCATTGGAATCAGATGGCTTTCCCCACAAACTTGCAAACCACTGCTTGCATGTTTATGGTAGCAAGGTGATTGAGGGTGTGAGCACAAGTAGTATATGGAAGTTGGATGAGAGGAAGGTATGTGTGCATTTTGCAAGAGACATCTTGAGAGACGGGAATAGGAAGATGGAGAGGTTCATGGAGGACTGGACACGTAAGGTTCCCGAAGGGATGCCTGCAAGTTTAGACTTGTTGGAAGGTGAAGTTTTGATAGAGAAGCTTGGCGCAGAGACATGGATTCGAGCCTTCAGCGTATCATCTCTACCCTACAACCCTGCAGAGCGATTCTCCGTCCTCTTTAAAGAGCGTCCAAAATGGGAGTGGAAGGATCTACAGCCCTTTATCAGGTTAGTTTATATATTCTTGTGATCATCCTTTTTATTTTTCTCCCGTCCTGCATTATCGTTTCTTAGATTTTACTCAAAAGTAATGTACTTCTTCCTTGCCTGCATCCACTTCTCAGTGACTTGAGAGTGCCGGGTCTTTCTGCCGAAGGTTTGCTTCTCAAATACACTAGAAGAACACAACCAACTGCTGATGCAGAACCCGTTTTCAGCATAAGATAGTGTTAAAATATATGTTAATTGTCATCTGCATAATATTATTCCATGTGTCCTAATCAAAGAATACTTGATTTTGCTAAGAAACTGATATAATATTCTCAGATATATCCTTTATTTTCTTTTCATCTTTGGCATAAAAGAAATCCCGAGCAAGCTGGCATTGCAGTAACTAACTGGCCACTTAGCACAACTCATTTACACAAATTGCCACCTCTGCTCGTGATTTGGTTTATTCTCATTAGATTTTACAACTTTCATTTATTTCATATTTCTCTTTATCTCATGAGCGAACGTTAATAGAAATGTGATTGAAATTGAAATATATTGAAGTTGATGTACGCATTACTACTACAAAAATAAAAATAAAAATTGCAGGTGTCCAAAGTTCATTATAGACGAACTAAACTGAACCAAATTCGAAAATTAATTTTTGGGTTGGATCACTTTGGTTCTCCAATTTTTGCAAGTCCTATACAAGAATCCATCATATACAACCTACGATACTAACTTCCAACAATAATCGGAACAAAAGCATAGGGGCACATTGAGCAGTTGCAAATTCAGAAAGTGAGAGTGCAGAGTAGAGCGGCAAAATGTCCTTCATAAATTTGGAGAGCTTCTACAATGATGAGGAGTTTAGAGTGATAATCTTATTTGAGGGGTTCAATCCCACCATCAGACCATTTAAAAGGTTTAAATCCATTGATTTCCTCACATTTGTTGATGGTGGGATTGAACCCCTCAAATAAGCGGGAGTATTTTTGCTCTTCGCTTTAACCCAATGTGTACCTTCACTACTCTTCACAAAAGTTGACACATGTCCATGGGATTAAAGCTTATAAACTCATGAACTTTACTACTATGGGATACCAAGTGAAATATAGTGTTTTCCATAATTCATTTATTTGATTTTTGTTTTTTCGTTTCACAACATCAGCCATAACAACAGTTTCTACACAAGTTATAAGTTATCAAAATCGAATCAGTATAATATAACAAATTTGAATTACACCATAAAACATAGTTTCAACGGCAAATTATGATAATTTTATATTAGGTCCGAAAGGTTTTCTTAAAATAAAATACTCCAAAGAAAATTATAGAGAGGTAGTTATGTCATGTATTATGTCCTAGCATTAGATAGACGAAAAAGAACAATTCATGTCGTTCTTACTATTTTTTCTACATTGCAAAAACTTGGACTAAGATGTTGATGGATGTGAAAAACTTAGTTGATAAACTGGTCTTTCAGGTCTTAGTTGAATGTTTTCCTGTAAATTAATCAAACAATTAAAAACAATAATAAAACTTAAAACAAAACAAAAATATAGGAAACTATGTGTAGTGAATTGAGTAAATTAAGATAACAAACCTATGGATGTATAAGTGAGTAATTGGACAACATTGGATGTATAGCTTGGCATCCAAGTGGGTGATTTGGGATCCCTTGAACAAAATTCTCTTGTCCTTATTTACTCTAAGGCTCCGTTTGATTCGTAGAAAAGAAGACTTGGGAATGGGAAATCAATTGCTTTCCCATGTTTAGTAAGTCTAGGTATGGGAAATCGTTGCCTGGCTTATGGGAAAGTATGGGGGAAAGTGAAGTCATCCTCCCAACTTGGGTTTTGTTTTCCCTCCTCAAGGGAAAGTTTGGGAAAATGAGCTAACATTAAATGCATTTCTTTTTTTATTTGATTTAATATGGGTATAATTGAAAATATATACAGACTTAGTTTTCCATTTCTACTCAAAACAAACATGAGAAAGGAAATAAAGTGATATTTTCCGATTACTTTCTCAGCATTACCAAACGTGGGAAATGAATCTTCTATTCCCATTCCTTGGGGAATGACATGGGAAATGATTTCCCCTCAAATTTATTTCATGAACTAAACGGGGCCTAAGTTTTCTCGCACTATATCCAACACCTCCAGCATATGAATTGAAATATTGATATGCCTTATGTTCATTATCAAAACTCATGCCATGTGTTGGAACGTCACAAAATTTTCTTGTGAGCTCTTCCATTTGCTCATTATGATCCAAGAGATCAAGACTTTCAGAATCAGAATCTAAGTGTATACAATTAACAGATTCTTTACCATTATTGGAATATGTAGCATGAAATTCATCATCTTCATGGTCCATGAGGACACTAGCACTATATGTATCATATTATTTGACATTCAATGATTAACAAACAAAAAAATTGAATATTCAATGAATGCTACATCCATAAGAATTAAAAAAAACAAAAAAAAACTTAATCTTCACAGCCAATATTGGTCTTCCACTTCCCATGAAACTGTTGGCATCCCAGTCTTAACAAAAAAACTTAATCTTCACAGCCAATATTGCTTCTTGTTTTTGGTTTTTATGGAAGTTTATTCAAATTTTAAAAAAAGCACATGAATTGTTAAATTCGAATTTGGTTTGATACTCAAAAAACTAAATAATGCAGAGCAATCACGAAAGTATAAAAAATAATAAAGCAATATAGAGTACTATTAAAAAGAAAAAAAAATTTAGCAGCATAGATGTTACCTATCTTTCACTTGAACAAATGATATCTTTCACTTGAACAAATGGAGGAAGCCTGCAATTGAAGTGCAGTGTAACTCCTGAAGTTGTTAAGTCTTCAATTCGGATAAAAGTATTTGGGCGTGGAAAAAAGTAGTTAGGTTCAATTTGTATTAAAGCCTGTGAAATTCAAATTAAAGCACGTGAAGCCAATTGCCAATTAAACTGCCTTGCCAATTATTTATTTGGGTTGTTGTTAGCTTCATGGGTAATTAATTTAGAAAAATGAAAGTTTGCTAGATTAGAATAAGGGTACATCCGGAAAATTTTGATTAAAATATTATTTCTCTCTCATAATAATATCATCAAATAAATAAACAATAAACAATTAATTATAGTTAAACCCATAGAAATGTGTCAACGTTTAAGAAGGGTGGTAAGAGTATACCCTGGGTTAAACTAAAAATGTTCCCCAAATAACCTCTTCACTCTAAACACCTCGTTATAGCCTTTCTGATGTGATGACATAAATTACAGGCTCTAACACTGGCCCATTGAGCAGGGTCAGTTCATCTTTCACCCGGAAGCCCAACTCCACCTAGGCCTCATCATTTGGCCCGCGGGCTCATGGGCCGATGGGGGCCCGCCCGGCCCATTGGAAAAAAGCCCCGCCCGGCCCGTTATGGGCTTTGAGATGGCCCGGCCCGTTATGGGCTTTGAGATGGCCCGGCCCG